GGGCGCGGGCCGTGTGCGCTCGGCAGCGCCGCCGCGGCGCCCTATAAACGCTGGCGGGGGATTTCTCCGGGGCGGGGCCAGGCGCGGGGAATTTCCAAGCCAGTCAGACCAGAAAAGAGAACTGGCCTCGTCCTCTGCTCAGGGGGAAAAAGAAGTCTAAACCCTGCGCTGGGGTTCATCGGAGAAACTCCCTGCGATGAGCCACTAGGGTCATGGACAGGGAACTTTTCGATGAGCGCTGAGTGGCTGGAAAGTCCTTCCTACCAGGTCCCCCCGGGTACTTCCCTGAGCCTGCACTCAGTATTCCTGGCCCTCCGCAAGCACCCTTCTTTCCCTGGGGTTTCCCACGATCGATTCCACTGGGGGTCGTCGGCTGCTGAGAACCCCAGGACGCAGACCCGAGGGGCGCTTCCTCTTTGGGGTTTGCCAACCTGCCGGTCCTTTCCGTTTTTTGATCTATTGAAAACGCAAGAGTGGAAATGATGGCTGGGTTTAGGGATTTGCTTTCCCCAGATTTCTCTCTGTGGGGAAGGACGTACTGGAGGTTGGTTAGAAGTTCGCAGGCCGCCTGTGCGCTTTTTGCCAATGGTGAGCTCTTTGTAGTGCGGAGACATTTAGCTCCCCCTGCTCCCAGGCCCCTCAGGTAGAAGTTGTGAAAGCTTTGACGTTAAAAGTCTAAAGGCTTAGAAAACTTGCCAGTCATTTCTCAGGGATTAGCAATGTTGTTGACTGGGGGAGGGGCAAACTCTTGGTAGGAGGAAAACGGCTAAGTAGGACTTTTTTTCTTTTTTTGGTTCAAGTAAAGTAAGGTGTTAATCTTTGTTAGTGGTTGTAGCTACCTTGCAATAACGAAATAGCCATTCTGTTCATGCAATCTGCTTTACATTGGGCTGCAACAGAGAATGGATCCTGAGCCTGCTTCTGGGTGCCCAAGCTGAGCAATTTTCCAGGAGCATTTGAAGAAGCTGAAGGATGAGTTGAGTAGTTAGTGCCTGAACCACGATTGAACCTTAATGATGGCTAAGAAAGTAGTTGGCTAGGCATTCTGCAGGAAGCTCAAGCCTCCTGCCTTTGTCTGGCTCCTCTTTGCTCTGCTGCCCAGAGGGAGGGTAGCAGTTGGAGCCATCCATGCAACATCAATAGAATGTTGCTTTTTCTCCAGAGAGAGCAGCTTGGGCTCACTATCCTGTGGCTTCACTTGCAGAAATATAATTTTTGCTCCTTGCCCCACCTCCTAGCCTGCAAGCCATGGACTGAATTAATGTACTTCTAGAATTGGTCTGGGCAAAATAAAGCAACTTTAATCATAGAATTGGCCCCAGGAGGTCTCTGTAGTTCTGCAAGTGATTATTGCAATCATCTTGACCTTGACTGGTCATGTACTGATTAACCAACTCTCCTCTGCTCTTCAAATCTTCACACCCTCCTCTAATTGAATGTAAGAAATCTTGTTATGCAAACACACAGAAAAATGATTGTAAGAAAGCTGAGTCAATAGGGAGAGATAATATAAGAAGAGAAAGAAATAGAATCAAGAAATAAAACCTTTAGGGCAGTAATGATCACATATAACAATGAACACTTCCCCTAGATAGACTCCATTGTCTTTGAAGGCTTATGATATGCAAATATGCGAGTGCAACAGCCACTGCAAGTACCAGCTCTCAGTTCCAGGACCTACCTTTAATTAACTACATATTAGTTGGAGAGGTCAGTTAACTTTTTTGCAGTATACTTTTATAATAATAAGGTTGGATTTCATGCTATTTAAGGTCTTTTCTTCCAGCTCAAGCATTGTATTACTTGTCTGCCAATGCATGTCTGACCTTTGTAAGGGTGACCATGACTGCTGGAAATGTCAGTATAAATTTTTGCAAGAACTCCAATACTTTATGCATCATATTGTTAGTTCTCAGAACTAATCTTGTGAGACAGGTATTGCTCCTACTTTCCTAAAAAGAAACCGAAAGGCATAGAAATTTATCTAGGCAACCCATGGCATTTTATCTAATTTCTATCCTAAGATTATTAATCATTTGGCCAAAGCAGTCTTAGTATTAACCCTTTTGGAAACACATTGTGAAAATGAGACTGAATACTCTGTAATTTGGAATATACTAAAATGTATGTTCTACTCTGCCTGTAGGCAAAACAGAGTGTTGGTGTTCCCCTATCTGGGGATATTCACTTATAAAAATGTACAGAAATTTCGTGACCTGCCGGGGCAACTTGGCAAGATCTTGTCTCTCCAATACATCAAAAATTAACTGAGTGTGGTAGCACGCGCCTGTAGTTCCGGCCACTTGGAAAGCTGAGGTGGAAGGATCGTCAGAGCCCAGCAGATCGAGGCTGCGGTAACCAGGAGCGGCCACTGCACTCCAGTCTGGGCGACAGAGTGAGACTCCAACTCAAAAAAAAAAGTACAGAAATGTCAAACTCCAAATATCCCACTTATAGACCATGTATCAGAAGAACATTTTTGGCTGTAGATATAAAAATGATTATTAAAAAGTAAAAAGTAAGCCGGGATCGGTGGCTCAGTCTGTAATCCCGTGCTTTGGGAGGCTGAGGTGAGTGGATTGCCTGAGTCCATCGGTCCGAGACCCGCCTTGGTGAGACCTCATCTCTACAATAAATAAAAAACTAGCTGGGCATGGTAGCGCGTGTCTGTTATTCCAGCTACTTGGAAGGCTGAGGGGGAAGGATCCCTGAGCCCAGCAGGTCGAGGCTGCGGTGGCTGGGAGCTGCCACTGCACTCCAGTCTGAGCGACAGAGTGAGACTCCAAGTCAAAAAAA